CCTGGGCCTCAGCGACCTGGCTACGCGGCGGGTTGGGCCTTGGGGACCTGGACCTCGGCGGCGACTAGGCTGTGGACCACCTGGGCCGTGAGGTGGGTATGCAATTTGGGCCTTGATTAGGCCTGGGCCTTTGTGACCAGTCTGTGGGCGGGCTGGGCCTCAGGGCAGACCTTGGCCTCAGTGGGAGTGTCTGGGCCTTGGCCTCAGTGGGCGGGCCTGTGCCTTCGGTGTTCCTGAGCCTCAGCGGCTTGGCAGAGGGCTGGTCTAGGCCGGGGCAGTAGAGGGCTGGGGGTCGTGGCTGCAGGGAGGTAGTGTCCGTATTTGATGATGTAAAAAATGCCTCTCTCAATCTCTCTGTACCGTAGGTACCCCAAATTTCCTGATATCCCTCTCTGTTTGTTCAGCTTTGTTAGTTTATGCTTCCTTTTCTCTGGAAATGCAGCCTTATAAGTGGGGTTGCTCTAGCCCTGCATTCCAAGGTCTGCAGGGGGCAGAGGCACTCGCCGGCGCAGGCGCAGAAGGGGAGCCATGTGCAGGCAGGCAAAAGCTCAAAATGCCTCTAATTCCTCAGCAATTTGATCTTTAAAAAAAATGAGTTCAGAATGTTGAACTTATGTTTGTTCAAAGGTTGTCTGTCTGCTAGACAAAGGTTTCTTATGTGCGATTCCGCCCCTTTTCCCCGAAACTGCCCTACCTGAGCTGCCTGGTCAGGGAAGCGCCGGGCGTCCTCTATATCTTAATATTCTTATCCAACATCATAATTCAAATTCATCAATCCTTCTCTGGTCTTCTTAGTCACTGTCCAACATTCATATACATATAAAGTGATCCAAAACACTATGGCTTGGGTCAGGCATACTTTAGTCCTCAAAGTAACATCTTTGCTCTTTAAGACTTTAAAGAGGACCTTGAAAACGGATTTGCTTAATGTAATATGTCATTTGATTTTGTGACTGCAGCTTCATGAGCAATGATTGTGGATCCGAGCAAAATTAAGTCTTAGTTTTTATCATGATGCAATTTATTGGTCCTATTGTGAAGAGTTTTCTTTTCTTTACATTGAGGGCCAATTCATATTGAATGCTGTGGTCTTTCATCTTTATTGCTAAGCATTTCAAGGCTTCTTTGCTTCAACTAAGCAAGGTTGTGTTATCTTCATATCACAGGTTGTTAATGAATCTTTTTTCAATATTGATGCAACGTTCTTCTTTATATATTACAAATTCTTAGATTATTTGTTCAGCATACAGATTGAATGAGTATGGTAATAGGGTACAACCCTGGCACATACCTTTCCAGATTTTAAATTAACTCAGTATCTCTTGTTCTGTTCAAATGACTGGCCCTTGGTTCATGTAGAGGCACCTCATGAGTACAATTAAGTGTTCTGGAATTCCCATTCTTCACAATATTTGTTATGATCTACACAAATGCTTTTGTAAAGTCAATAAAGCATAAGCAAACATCATTCAGGTATTCTTTACTTTTAGCCAACATCTATCTGGCATTAGCAATGATACCCCTCATTCCATGTCCTCTTCTGAATTTGAATTGAATTTCTGGCAGCTCCCTGTCAATGTATTGCTGCAACCATTTTTAAATTATCTTCAGCAAAATCTTACTTATGTATTGTAATAATGATATTGTTAGAAGATATCTACATTCGGGTGGGTGGGAAACCTTTCTTTGGAATGGGTACAAATATGGATCTCTTCCAACAGATTGGCAAGGTAGCTATCTTCTAAATGTTTTGCATAGATGAATTCTTGCATAAATAATTTCTTTTTTCTTCATTTGATGAAAAATGATATTTGTAATTAATAAGTCATTGGCCTTGCAAAATTATAACATGTGATCCTCACAATCAATTCTATTACCAAAGTTATATTTTCCCTATACAGATCCTTCCTTTGTTTCCAACTCTGACAATTCAATGACCAGTTCTAAATCTGTTTGTTGACATATTTCAATTTGCATTCCATCCATTTCTGGAGTCTTGTTTTTTTACTAATGCCTTCAGTGCAGCTTGAATTTCTTCCTTCAAAATCATCGATTCTTGATCATACGGTACTTCTTAAAACAGTTGAACATTGAACCATTATTTTTGGTGCAGTGGCTCTGTGAATTCCTTCCTTCTTTTGATGCTTCCTGTGTCATTCAATATTTTCCCCATAGACTCCATCAACAGTGCAACCAAAGACTTAATTTGTTTTCTACAGTTCTTTCAATTTGAGAAATGCTGATCATGTTCTTCACTTTTAGTTTTCTAACTCCACGTCCTTCCTTGCACATTTCATTATAATACTTTACTTTGTCTTCTCCAGCTGCCCTTTGAATTTTTATGTTCAGTTCTTTCATTTCATCATTAGCTTCTTGCATTCCCTTTAGTTTCTTTATATGCAAGAGCAAGTTTCAGAGTCTCTTCTTAAATCCACTTTGGCCTTTTCTTTTTTCCTATCTTTGTAGTGACCTTTTGCTTTTTCCACGTATGATGTTCTTGATGTTATCCCCATAAACCCTCTGGTCTTTGGTCATTTGTGTCTAATGCATCAAATCTGTTCTTTAGAGGTCTCTATAAACTCAGGTGGGATATACTCAATGTTATATTTTGGCTCTCCTTTACTTGTTTTAATTTTCTTCAGCATCAGCCTGAACTTGCATATGGGCAATTGATGGTGCATTCCACAGTCAGACCCTGGCCTTGTTTTGGCTGAGGATATTGAGCTTCTCCATCATCTGTTTCCATAGATGTAGTCAATTGGATTCCTCTGTATTCCATCTTAAGAGATGCATGTGTATAGTCGCCTTTTATGTTGTTGAAAACTGGTATTTGCAATGATTAAGTCATTGGTCTTGTAAAATTACATATAATGCAATCTCCACAATTGTTTCTATCCCCAAATACAGATCCTTCCTTTGTTTCTAATTTTCACATTCCAGTGACCAGCAGTTATCAACCGCATTTTTGATCAATTTTAGACTAAAGAAGTTGGTAAAATTCAATTTCATCATTACTGGCTTTAGTGGTTGGTGTGTAAATTTGACTAATATTAGTATAACTGGTCTTTCTTATCCTGTCACAGACAGCATTGTACTTCAATACTGATCTTGAGATGTTCTTTTTTTTTTTTTTTTTCCTTAAATGTTTTATTGGGAATTATGTGATAGTTTACATGGGAGAACATTAGTTTTACATTCATTCTATTGTATATCGTCTCATTGCCATGGTTACAATCCCCTCCATGCAATCCTTCCCCTGTACCCCCAAGTCTTCAGCACACAGTCGCTCTCCCTCTCTGGATCTAAAGTCTCCAGCTGCTCCATTGCTCCACGTCATCATCTCTGCCTCTATTTCAGGCATCATTGCTTCTCTGGGTAGGGTCCCGCTCTCTGCTCTTCTCCCTTGATGGTCCTAGGGACCTTTGCTCCTAGACTGAAGAGTTAATCACTCCCCTTCTTGCTATAAAACGTCTACCTTTACATTTCCGACCCTCACAATCAGTCCTGATGAGATGTTCTTTTTGATGATGAATGTGATGCCATTCTTCTTGAATTTGTCATTCCCAGCATAGTAAACAATGTAAACGGCCAGTCTGTGGCCATATCAGCTCACTAATGCGTAGGTTATGGACTTTTATGAGTTCTATTTCATTTTTGATTACTTCCAATTTTCTTAAATTCATATACTTTATTCATTCCACATTCTGTTTCTTCTCATTTTGAGTTGTGTCCAAAGGCAAATGAAGTTCCCAATGGCTTGCCTACACTCAAGTCACTAAAGTCAACTCTACTTTGAGAAGGCAACTCTCCCAAGTTGTATTTTAGTGCCTTCCAATCAGAATGGTTCATCTTTCTGTACTGTATCAGTGCTCCATTTACATTCATAAGGTTTTCAATGGTCAACCTTTCAGAAGTCATATGCTGCTTCTTTTTCCTAATTTGTGTTAGTTTGAAAGTTCTGCTGAAACATGTCCACCATGGCTGACCTGCTGATATTTAAAACACTGGTGGCATAGCTTCCAGCATCACAGCAACACACAAGCAACCACAGTATGAAAAACTGACAAGTCGTGGGAAGTTATTCTATGTTGCCCCAAAATTAGACCCCATAAGAAAACAGTGGTTGAGTATTGAATATACTTTAGGTGTGGTATCTATTTGCATCTTACTTTAAGAACAAACTTCTGTATCAAATAGAAACGTCAATATAATCACACAGTTAAGTCTTTTCATGTTTCACCTTCGCTTAAATAGTGGAATGGGCAGATAGTGCCTTACCTATATTGAATATTGGAGCATGTGTCCTCAGAAAAGTAACTGTCCTCCACAATGAAATGGTTTGCAATGATTCTCTGGCCAAACTGATCTACGATTGCTTTACATCTACAAAGATAAATAAGCACAGTAAAAACTTCATGTCGATGATTAAATAATTGAGCAAAGGAACCAAGCTTAAATTCCTGGTGTAGCACTTTTGGATCACCACTGGACTGCGAACCACAAGGTCAACAGCTCAAACACATCAGCTGCTCCTCAGAAACCCTATAAAGGATCGTGGTGAGTTGGAACTAACTCAATGGCACTTAACATCATCAACAACAAGCTTAAATCTAAAACTAATTTCTTATGGAGACAAGCTTAAAATTTTTCCTACATTCTTAACATTTTTTAACATCAAAATGGTACTAATTTACAGAAGATAAGTTCTTGCCATCAAACCCACTGCCATTGAGTTGATTCTGACTCATAGAGACCCTATAAGACAGCATATTGAGTCCAATAACTATAAAGTATAAAATGACCATTAAATCCTAATGAAATATTTATATTGCATACCATTAACAAGTATCATAATAAGTTTTTCTAATCTTTCGAAACACTGACACTTCCTTTGCTTAGAAAACAGCTCTAAGAAAAGAGGGAGAGTAATGTTGATTATGTCTTGTTATATTGCTCGTCTTTAGTAAAATCCATTAAAGGCTTTTTATTTTCCTGTTAAGTGTTGCCTTCTCTTTTATTCAAGAACCTAATAACATGTTTAATAATGTTTTAACCAGAAAATAAAAGGGGGTGTGGTGGGGTGGGGAGAAAGCTTCTTTTAATATTTGTTTCCACTTTACTTCAAAGGACTATCATAAAAAGGTTTATTTTAAGTTCTGTTTCCAAATAAGGAAAACACTTATGCATAGATATTATCAGGTCTCTGTTATCTGATATGTGTTAGCACAATGAATCATACAGAACCCTCCATTGACCTTCTTTCAATGTGTCTAGATAAAAGGATGAAAATTAGAATCCATCTTCTTACAGTGCCACAAGTTATAAATGTACTTTATAGGGCTCATTATCCAAACTAATGGACTAAGGACAACATCCTTGAAATGGACTTACCAGCACTGACAAAGCCACTATACAATATTTCAGGAATCCTATGCAAGTGACTACAAATTTGATGTATCTTTTTATTATGGAAATATAAATTTACTTTTATCACAATTTCTCCTTTTGAGACAAGAATTATATACATACTACTCCTCATAAAATGTAAGCTAGTAATTCTTCAAACTTAGATCATATTTGAAATATGCTAGATATGTATGTGT